CTCTCCAAGGCATATTATAGTCAAATTGTCAAAAGTAAAGATAAAGAGAGAGTATTAGACAGAGAAAGACATAAAGTTACATTTAAAGGAAAACCCATTAGACTAAAAGCAGACTTCTTAGCAGAAACCATACAGGCCAGAAGAGAATGTGATAATATATTCAAAGTCTTGAAAGAAAAGAACATCCAATCATGATACTATTTCCAGAAAAGCTATCCTTTAGAAGTGAAAGAGAAATAAAACTATTTCCAGACAAGTAAAAACAGGATTCATCACCACTAGACAAGCCCTACAAGAAATTCTTAAGGGAGTCCTATATTAGAAGTAAATCAACAAAGATGCAGAGTTGACATATTATGAACCTGACATTTATAGAACATTTCATCCAACAGGTACAGATTACACATTCTCATCAGCACATGGAATATTTTCCAGGATAGATGACATATTAGATCACAAATCAAGCCTTAGTAAATCACTTTTTTAAAGATTTATTTATTTGAAAGTCAAAATTACACACAGAGAGGAGAGGAGGAGAGGAGGAGAGGGTGAGAGGGCGAGAGGAAGAGAGACAGAGATGGGCGGCGGCGGGGGGGGTGGTGTCTTCCATCCACTGGTTCACTCCCCAATTGGCTGCAATAGCCAGAGCTGCGCTGATCCGAAGCCAGGAGCCAGGAGCTTCTTCCCTGCCCCCATTGTTGGTGCAGGGGCCCAAGCATTTGGGCCATCTTCTACTGCCTTTCCAGGCTGTAGCAGAGAGCTGGATTGGAAGTGGAACAGTTGGGACACGAACTGGTGCCCATATGGTCTGTTGGCACTGCAGGCTGTAGCTTTACCTGCTATGCCACAGTGCGGTGCCCCCAGTAAATTTTTTTTTTTTTTTTTTTTTTACAGATAGAGTTATAGACAGTGAGAGAGAGAGACAGAGAGAAATGTCTTCCTTCTGTTGGTTCACTCTCAAATGGCTGCTATGGCTGGTGCTGCTCTGATCTGAAGCCAGGAGCCAGATGCTTCCTCCTGGTCTCCCATGAGGGTGCAGGGGCCCAAGCACTTGGGCCATCCTCCATTGCTCTCCTGGGCCACAGCAGAGAGCTGGACTGGAAGAGGAGTAACCGGGACCAGAACCCACGGCACTGGCCCCCCCAGTAAATCTTCAAAAACTGAAATCATACGGGGCCGATGCCGTGGCTCACTTGGCTAATCCTCCGCCTGCAGCATCGGCATCCCATAGGGGTGCCGGGTTCTGGTCCCGGTTACTCCTCTTCCAGTCCAGCTCTCTGCTGTGGCACTGCACCTGCATGGGAGACCATGAGGAAGCACCTGGCTCCTGGCTTCGGATTGGCGCAGCGTGCTGGCCATAGTGGCCATTTAGGGGGTGAACCAATGGAAGGAAGGCCTTTCTCTCTCTCTCTCTCACTAACTCTGCCTGTCAAAAAGAAAAAGAAAAAAAAAAGAAATAAAAACCTAAACACTGCACCAAAAAGCTGTTAGAACTGATAAACCAATTCAGTAAAGTTGTAGGACACAAAACCAACATACAAAAGCAATAGCATTTTTATACACCAATAATGATCTTGCTGAAAAGGAAACCAAGAAATTGCATTCACAACAGCTACAAAAATTATCTATTTGGGAATGAATTTAACTAAAGAAGTGAAATATCTTACAGTGAAAATTATAAAACACTGATGAAAGAAATCATCAAAGGGGCAAGCGCTGAAGCAATAGCGGGTGAAGCCACCATATGGGATCCCATATGGGTGCCGGTTAGAATCCTGGCTGCTCCACTTCTGATCCAGCTCCCTGCTAATGTGCATAGGAAAGCAGTGGAAGATGGCCCAAGTACTTGGGACCTTGCACCCCCAAGGGAGACCTAGAAGAAGCTCCTGGATCATGGCTTCAGATGGGCCCATTTGGCAATTTGGGGAGTAAACCAGTGGATGAAAGATTTCTTTCTCTCTCTTTCCCTCTCTCTTTAACTCTGCCTTTCAAGTAAATTAATCTTTAAAAAAAATCATCATGGACACACAAAAAAATGGGAAAGATTCGTCATTCATGGGTTAGGAGAATTAATATTAACATGCCATACCACCTAAACTAATCTACAGATTCAATGCAATCCTTATCAAAATACCAATGACGTTCTTCACAGAAATAGAAAAAGACAATTCTAAAATTTATATATAACCATGAGAAAGACCGAGAATAGCCAAAGTGAACCTGAGTGAAAAAATAAAGCTCCAGGCATCATGCTACTTGATTTCAAAGCAGACTACAAAAGTACTGTAATTAAAATAGCATGGTACTGGCATAAAAACTGACACACTGATCAGTGGGACAGAATAGAGAACCCAGAACTTAATCCATTTACGTATAGTGAACTGATTTTTGACAAAGGCACAAAGAATACAGATGGGAGAAAGAATTATCTTTTCAATAAATGATGCTGGCAAAACTGGATATAGATATCTATATCTATCTATCTATCTATCTATCTATCTGAAAGAATGAAATTAAATCACCACCTCTCATCATATATAAAAATCAAGTCAAAATGGATCAAAGACCTAAGACATAGAACTATGAAGTTGCTAGAAAAAAACATAGGGAAACTACTTCAAGACATTTGGTGAAGGCAGTGATTTTTTTTTTGAGAGATTCTAAAAGCATAAACAACAAAAGCAAAATTAGACAAATGGGATTACATCAAACTCAGAAGTTCCTGGACAGCAAAGGAAACAATCAAAAGTGAAGAGGCATCTGACAGAATCAGAGAAAATATTTGCAAGCTACTTATCTGACAAAGGATTAATATCTAGACAATATCAAGAACTCAAAAAACAACAAAACCCAATCTAGCTAAGAAATGTACAAAGGACTTTAGGGGCTGGCGCTGTGATGCAGACGGTTTAGCCATTGTCTGCAGTGCTGGCATCCCATATGGGCACCAGTTTGAGTCTTGGCTGTTCCTCTTCTGATCCAGTTCTCTGCTAATGCACCTGAGAAATCAACAGAAGATGATCCAAGTGCACTCACATGGGAGACCAGGAAGAAGCTCCTGGCTTCTGGCTCCGACCTGGCCCAACCCTGACTCTTGGAGCTGTTTGGGGAGTGAACCAGCAGATGGAGGATATCTCTGTCTCTCCTTCTAACTCTGCCTTTCAAATAAATAAATCTAAAGAAAGAAATGGACAAAGGACCTGAATAGTCCTTCAAAGAAACACAAATGGTCAACAAATATCTGAAAAAGTGCTATTACTGGCCATCAGGGAAATACAAATCAAAACCATAACAATACCTCACCTCCCTTCGAATGGCTATTATCAAAAAGAAAGTAACAAATACTGGCAAGGATATGGAGAAAGGGTAAGTGTTATACATTGTTCTTACGAATTTAAATTAGTACAGCCACTATGGAAAACAGTATGGAGATGCTTTTTAAAAATTAGATGTAGAACTACCACTACTGGATGTGTATCCAAAAGGAAAGAAAATCAGTCTGTCAAGGAGATACCTGGACTTCCATGTTCATTGCAGCACTATTTGCAATAGTGAAGATATGGAATCAACCAAGATGTTCATCATCAGAGGAATACATAAAAAAGTAATCTATACAGAATATTATTCAGCTGTAAAAAAAGAATGAAATCCTTTCATTTGCAGCAAAATGGATGAAACTGGAGGATATCATGTTAAGCAAAATAAGCCAGACACAGAAAGACAAATACTACATGTTCTCCCTCATTTGTGCAAACTAAAAACAAATTCAATTTGAACACAGAATGGTGATTACTAGAGCTAATTACTGGGGTAGGAGGAGGGACAAGAGGGAGTCTGGTTAATAGGGACCAAATCAGAGTTAGATCAATGGAATAAGTTCCTAGTGTTCTATAGCATAGTGGGGAGAATACAGTTCACAATAACCCAGTATATATTATATGAACAATTAGAAGAAGCAGCTCCAAGCCTCCAATCATAAAGTCAAAGAAGACGCAATGTTTATTATCCTAAGTACACACTGTATACATGTATTGAAATATTACATTGTAGCCCTAAATATGTACAATTGTCATTAATATTTTTTTAAAAATTACTTGAATGAGAATGATGTTATGGTTATATTCCCAGTTAGTATGATTTACTTTTTATTTGAGAGGCAGTCAGAGAGAGAGAGAGGGAGAGATGGAGGGAGAGGCCTTCCATGCGCTGTTTCACTCCCCAAATGGCTGCAATGGCCAGAACTGGAGCCAGGAGCCAGGAGCCTCTTCTGGGTCTCCCACATGGGTGCAGGAGCTCAAGCACTCAGGCCATCTTTCACTGCTTTCCAAGGCCACAGCAAAGAGCTGGATTAGAAGAGGAGCAGCTGGGACATGAATCAGTGCTCAAATGGGATGCTAGCGCTACAGGTAGAAGCTTAACCTACTAAACCACAGCACCAGCTCCCCCATATGATTATTTTCCAACTAATAAAAGATACCATTGTTGAGTCACTTAAATCCCAATGAAAATGAAATATGTAAATAAACTGATACTTCCACCATGTCAAGATTAAAAATCAGGTTTCAAAGTCTCAATAACAATAAATGGGAAAGAGTTTTATGATAAATGAAAAAAGCAGGCCTAGATTAGTATGGTTCCAATTTTGTTAGAAAATATATAGAACGAAACATATAATTGGATGATGAGATTACAGGTAAATTTATTTTCATCTTGAAATCCTTTTTGAATAAAATAAACAGTCCAAAACAATGGTTTAGGCTCTAAAACTTGAATCTCATGGTGCATTAGGTTTCACTTTTGCAGTAAAAAAAAAAAAATCCTTTAGTTAGGCCAATAAAGATAGGGACACAAGACAAAATGTGTGGTCACCGAAAGGGGGAAAACATTCAATACTAACGTAACTTACTGTTGTAGTATATAAATATGCTCTCTGTGGGAACTGACTAGAGCTCAATAAATAATATGTATAGATCTAATTCTGGCAGGTAACTAAATCATACCTTGAGAATAGTTATATGCTTGAGAAGGATCAGCTGTTATACTCATTGATAATGAGTTATGTGATTCCTGAGAATGTTTCTCCATCTCGACTGTATCACTGGATGAAGATGATGTTGAAGACAATCCTAGTCTAACGTATCTTCCTTTTTTACCACACAGTGAACAATCTACTGGCGTGGCACTAGGTCCCCTGGGCAGTTGAACTTCATCTCTGTTGTAGTTTCTGACAGCTCCACTGTGATGCACAGAACGTTCTCGTTGCCAGATATAATGGGTTGGTGCAATGGCCATAACCTACAGTGGAAATCTTATTTTTAGAATTTTATATTTTAAAACTTAGCAAAGTATAAAATTATAACTCAAGAAGAGCTGTCCCTAAAAGTGAGATAAAACTCTAATTTATTTATTTATTCATCAGAGAGAGAGAGTGAGCTCCCATCTGCTGCTTCACTCCTCAAATGCCTACAATAGCCAAGACTGGATGTGGATGAAGCTGGGAGCCAAGAACACATCCAGCTCTCCCATGTGAGCCATCACTGCTGCCTCCTTGGGCCTGCATTCGTAGGAAACTGTGGTCAAGAGTCAGAGCCTGGAATCCAACCCAGGCACTTCAATATGAGACTTCAGCATCCTAACCAGTGTCTTAATCTCTAGGTCAAATGTCCATCCCCAAATTAACCAATTTAAGACAACAACAAATCACCCTTCGATAAGGCAATCTTAGTATAAAGTGATTGATTGCTTGTATCATTAAGGTAATAACTGGCAAAGTACTTAATTATTTCAAACAGTAAAAGAGGACTGAAGCAACCTTCCAGGTTGTCAGATTACTTATTAATTCTGAATATTCTAAATTTGTTAGAGATAGTATAATTAGCCAAAAACAAGACACAATTCTTAACTTTGAAATATGTTGGGTTAAACATTTTTAAAAACTGTTGTTCCCGACTATTAATCTTAAAATGTTTGCGGTTGTGGCAAAGTGTATGGTGAATAAGAACACAGGTAAGTTACTTAACCTGTGTTCCTCGGTTTCTCACCTGTAATATGGGGATAATAGGAGTGTAATTTACAGAATTGTGAGGACTAGATGAGGTACTGTTCACGAAGTACTGAAGTCTTCACCACCTGTCAGGCACTGTTCTATAAGGTTTACTAAGACCTGAGCTTTAGAGTTGATACACTTAGTTTCTTATCCTGGCTCTGCCACTTACTAGCTCTGTGATACTGGGAAGGTTACCTGTCTTTATTTATTTTTGTTTTATCTGAAAGTCAGAGAGTCAGTCAGAGATCTTCCATCCACTGATTCAATTTCCAAAGTCCCACAACAGCCAGTGATAGGTCAGACTGAAGCCAAGAGCCAGGAACACAATCTACATCTCCCACATAGGTAGGAACCCAAGTACTTGAACCATGTCCTGCCGCCTCCCAGGGTGCACATAAGCAGAAAGCTGGAATCAGAAATGTAACTGAGACCTGAACCCAGGCACTCTGATGTGTGACACGGGCATCTCAAGCAGCACAGATAAAGTAATCTTCCCAGTATTATACAGCTAGCAGGTAAGTGTCTCACCTGTCACAACAAATGCCCATCAAGGCAAGTAACCTTTCTGAAGCTCAATTTCTTCATCTCTAACATGGGGATACTATCTACCTCACAGGATTGTTCTGAAAATTACATGAGATACCCCTATGTAAAACCCTTATCACATAGTAAGCATCTGGCAATTTAAGAAGTCAAAGTAGGAGAAGTATACTTTGTGTTGACTTCACGAAATCTAAAACTTTTAAGCAAAAATCTCTAGTTGCAGTATAAACTACCCAAAGTAAATGAGAACTGTAGCATGTGAGAGCTAAACATAAACCTTATTAATTTTCTAGACTGACAAATTTCAAACTGCTCTGAAAGCCTTGAGGTTTTGGAGAGGTGTATTAGTAGCTCCAGGAAGGGCAAAGGGAAAACATAGTAGATAGAGCTCAGTTTTGGGAACTGTATCAAGTTTTATTTGGAGGGAAAGAAGGATTTTTACTGTAAGACATAAAAACTTAAAGAAAAAAAAAACAGATTTGGACTAGTTCCCTCAGAATACAGGATTACTATGGCCTCTTCCAACATAATAGCACAAAGAGTATTTTTTTTTTTTTTTTTTGACAGGCAGAGTGGACAGTGAGAGAGAGAGACAGAGAGAGAAAGGTCTTCCTTTGCCGTTGGTTCACCCTCCAATGGCCGCCGCTGCAGCGGGCGCACCGCGCTGATCCGATGGCAGGAGCCAGGATCCAGGTGCTTTTCCTGGTCTCCCATGGGGTGCAGGGCCCAAGCACCTGGGCCATCCTCCACTGCACTCCCTGGCCATAGCAGAGAGCTGGCCTGGAAGAGGGGCAACCGGGACAGAATCCGGCGCCCCGACCGGGACTAGAACCCGGTGTGCCGGCGCCGCAAGGTGGAGGATTAGCCTATTGAGCCACGGCGCCGGCTCAAAGAGTATTATTTTTAAAGTATATTTTAAGATTGAATTTGTTTTATAATCTACTTCTTAAATCCTTCAGAAGTTTCCAACCAATGACACATAATAAACTTACATAAAGAGTAGAACCAAATAAAGATGTTTACTCTAACTATAAACATTTCCTTAACAAGTTAAACCGATTAAAGTCTTCCTAAGGTGAAGGAGTAGAATATTAGAATTTATTTCTTGTATTTTTCTTCAATACTTCTGTACTTTTATCTGTTTCTCATGTCTGTGATGTCTTCTCCATGTGTCTTAGTATTGCTTTTCCCTAGAGCTCCAGCTCAAGCCCTATATTTCTAAAAATTCCAGCTTAAATATTTTCATGTCTTATTGTTTATACTATTTTTTTACTTTTTAACTTTTATTTAATAAATATAAATTTTCAAAGTACAACTTTTGGATTATAGCGATTCCCCCCCCATAACCTCCCTCCCACCTGCAACCATCCCAACTCCCACTCCCTCTCCCATCCCATTCTTCATCAAGATTCATTTTCACTTATCTTTATATACAGATCTACTTAGTATTTACTAAGTAAAGATTTCAAAAGTTTGCACCCACACAGAAACACAAAGTATAAAGTACTGTTTGAGTACTAGTTTTACAGTTAATTCACATAGTACAACACATTAAGGACAGAGATCCTACATGGGGAGTAAGTGCACAGTGACTCCTGTTGTTGATTTAACAATTGACACTCTAATTATGACGTCAGTAATCACCCAAGGCTCTAGTCATGAGCTGCCAAGGCTATGGAAGCCTCTTGAGTTCGCCAACTCCAATCTTATTTAGACAAGGCCATAGTCAAGGAAGTTCTCTCCTCCCTTCAGAGAAAGGTACCTCCTTCTTTGATGGCCCGTTCTTTCCGTTGGGATCTCACTCACAATTTTTTTTTTTTTTGCCACAGTGACTTGGCTTTCCATGCCTAAAATACTATCAAATACTATCATGGGCTTTTTAGCCAGATCTGAATGCCTTAAGGGCTGATTCTGAGGCCAGAGTGCTGCTTAGGACATCTGCCATTCTGAGTCCGCTGTGTATCCCACTTCCCATGTTGGATCATTCTCTCCTTTTTAATTCTATCAGTTAGCAGACATTAGTCTTGTTGTGTGATCCCTATGACACTTAATCCTATCATTATGATCAATTATGGACTGAAACTGATCATTTTGACTAGTGAGATGGCATTGCTACATGCCACCTTGATGGGATTAAATTGGAATCCCCTGGCACGTTTCTAACTCTACCATTAAGGGGTAAGTTGATTGAGCATGTGCCAATCTGTCTATTGCTGAAAGTGGAGTATTGAAGTCCCCCAATACTATTGTATTGGAGTCTAAGTCTCCCTTTAAGTTCCTTAACATATCTTTTAAATAACCCGGTGCCCTGTAATTAGGTGCATATACATTTATAATAGTTACATCTTCCTGTTGAATTGATCCCTTAATCATTATATAGTGCCCCTATACCTATTAGATAGCTCCCTCTCCAGTATGTCCTAAATCCAACTGGTTACTAAGTAATGGTAACTTTTTAGTACTTCTATTTCAGTCTCATTAGCACTGCTATCAATCTGAATCTCATGCTTGTCTCCTCAGCTACAGAAACTCCTGAGCAGTTTCCATGATGTTTCTGATAATGGCTTTCTTCTGCATATGGTTATTTGATTATTCTGTCCAAAAACACTGATTATTTTGCATCACTGCTTTTGAAATTCTAATCTGGAGCCGGCGCCGCGGCTCACTAGGCTAATCCTCCGCCTTTTGGCGCCGGCACACCGGGTTCTAGTCCCGGTTGGGGCGCCGGGTTCTGTCCCAGTTGCCCCTCTTCCAGGCCAGCTCTCTGCTATGGCCAGGGAGTGCAGTGGAGGATGGCCCAAGTGCTTGGGCCCTGCACCCCATGGGAGACCAGGATAAGTACCTGGCTCCTGCCTTCGGATCAGTGTGGTGTGCCGGCCGCAGCGCGCCAGCCGCGGCGGCCATTGGAGGGTGAACCAACGGCAAAGAAAGACCTTTCTCCCTGTCTCTCTCTCTCACTGTCCACTCTGCCTATCAAAAAAAAAAACACAAGTCAAGGGAAATTCTAATCTGGAATCAAGTAATAGCTAACACAAAACTCAGCTATGAAGATAATGTAGCATCTAAGAGCACAAAACCTGAATAGAGAAGAGCTTTCTCAATTTTTTATCTCCTACGATACATAAAGGGGTTGGAGTTGGAATCCAATACTCTCACTGAATAGTCACACTCTCTTATCCTGTGAATCTGACTAGAAATTAAGTCATGACCAACAAAAATAAATTTAACTCAAAGAAGCTGAATTCCAAAAGGTAACCTTATCATAAGAAGATAGTTAAGATCAAGGTAAGTAGTAAAATAGCATTTACTTCTTTTAATACATGGTTTTCAAGTTAACCATAAACTATTTCTTTTCAAAAAACAGATTTGAGGTAGCTGAGAAAAAGGAGAAAAATCCATTAAACTGAGACCCAAAGGGAAAACTGGGGTTAAGGGTGCAAGCACACTGGTAATAAAATTGTACTAGAGTTAATGTGGCTCAGGATAATTACCTGGCTCTTAACTTCTTTGTAATCAACATTGAACAAAGGAGAGAAACAAATTATACAGCTCATTATCTCAAAGAGAAGCCTCTGTTTTTTGGACAGTGGTAGATAATGAAAAGAGTTTAAGTGTAACTAGCTCTGTCACTTAGAAACTTTATGCTGGTAGACAAATCACAGTCTAGGACAGTTTTTCATTTGTGAAATGGAAAGAATATGTATGC